CCCATCTTGAACAACATAGAGAAAAAATTAGGTCATTATCTAGATTTGGTATGCTCTTCATGTTTTTGACTCTGGGCAACTTCAACAAAAATCAGCCTCCCATCAACCATCTGGACAAATTTTAACAAAAACTTCGAAAGAGAAAAACAAGACTGAAGGTGTTCACAAAAAAATACAATTTAAAAACATATGACAAAAACAAAGACTAGGAAATTTGATCAACGAAAAACACATATTCAGTACATAAAAGATTAGAATGCGCAAGTATAAGGGCTATATGATCTGCAATTTGGCACAAAAACAATTATAATATGAGTCAATTTACCAAATCAGAACAAAGATGTGTTAGTTGAATGCCAAAATAGTACGATCACCGCACCCTAATGCTTCACTAACAAAATACCAAAATGGCTGTACTTTTAATAATTTAAATGCAGCTCCAAAATGAAATATCCTGCCTTTTCATCTCAAAATTATACAGAAGCTAACAAAACTGGCACATCAAGTGAAAACCAAGTATATTTTTACTCAAACAAAAAGCAACAGAAGAAACAGAAGAGAAAGAAAATAAACCTGTATTGGTAGGAACAGCCCTCCAATTTCCAGGACCATGTTCTTGAATGTAATAGACCAAAATGATATCTTCTTCGGGAGTCCAAGGTCCTTTCTTGACCCCTTCTTTATCACAGCAAGGAGGCCTGCCCATTTATAAAAATAAAATTAAAAATTTTAACCATAGGGAAGAAGGAAATTACCCTGCCATTCATGGCCTTCAAAGCTTTTTGTGCCTCAACATCTGACTTGTAAGTGACAAAACCGAATCCTTTGGGTCTTTGAGTTATACGGTCCACAGCCATTCTAGCTAAATATACAGTTAAACAAAATCATCACAAAGGTAAAAATCAGTCAGTAATTTCCACAAATTACAGAAGAAAAAAAAATAAATAATCGGAGCAAATTAATAAGAAACGTAGAAATACCATCTGTAACATCTCCAAAAGAAGAAAACAGTCTCTTGAGTTGTTCATTATTAGTGAACGATGATAATCTTAAGCAACAAACCCAAGAATCAAAACAAGCATTTTAAACAAAAAACCCTAAAAATAGATTTGAGAGAAAGAAAGGGAAAGAGAGAATACTGCTGACGAAGAGCTGCGAAACTCAATCTTTCGGCCATCTCTGTGTCAACCCAAATCCCAGATATCTACTTCTTCTTTGAGCATGCAATCTGAAGAAGCATATTTAACATTTATAGGAACATATAGGAAGAAAAACGAGATCCAAACTCAGATTGGCTTTTGGCATCGCACCAAAGGTGTCCAGTGGAGAAACTAGAAAGACTCTACTAAAATTTGAAGGTTTCTCATGCACCAAAGGCGACCTTTCGAAGCTCGCCGCGGCTGAGGGATGGGCAGGGGTGGCTGGGCTTTAGCCCTGAGGAAAGCACCGGCCATGGTCGGAACATCTGAGAGAGAAAGAAGCAGTGATGGAGGAGAGAGAAGAAATAGAGAGTTTGAGAGGGAGAGGAGTTAGGGCGAGAGTTTGAGAGGGATTGAAAAAATTGAGAGGGAGATGGAAGTTAGGGCGAGAGTTTGAGAGGGAGAGCGTGAAAAATTTTGGACTAGCGTTGACTACCCTTTAGGCATCGGTGGCTTTTTAAAAAAAAATGTCCATCTTAAAAAAAAAAATGGCAAATCACTTTAGGCATCTATGATTATGAGAGATGATGCTAAAGGGAATCAAAGGCATCGTCATAAAAAACCAAAACTTCATACTCATGTCCTTATAGCTGTTTAGTATCGTTATTTATAAAATCGATCCCTGACGTGCTAATAGCATCGAATTTCGATTTACCTATGCCTATGTAGTGTTGCTGAAAGTGAAATTTGGCATAATGCGGACAATTCAAGTTCAACGGCAGTTTGTTCCTAATTGGAGTGGTTGGTGTATTCCAAACTTCTAGCGATTGGATTTCACTCAAAACTCACCAAACGACTCCTCCCACCATATTATGATGTTGCTCAAGTTTTCGGCTCGATCCGAAATCAATAGGTGTAAGAAATTGGACAATTCAAGTTCAAAGGCAGTTCGTTCCAAATTGGAGTGGTTGAGG